ACAAAGGAGTAGCAGTAGATCAGGTGCAGGAGAGCGAGTAGTGCAGTGCAAATAGATATCCTGCTTGTGCTTGTTGTATTGACAGTCTGAACAGTACAACCTCTGCTACCACAACAGTAGCAGTAGTAGTAGTAGCCGTAATAGGGGCAGCAGGAGCAGCAGGAGGAGTAGTAGTAGTAGAAGTAGAGCTAGTAGTCGTGGTGGTGGTGGTGGTGGTGGTGGTGGTGGTGGTGGTGGCGGTGGTGGTGGTGGTGGCGGCGGGGGCGGGGGTGGTGGGGGTGGGGGTGGCGGTGGCGGTGGCGGCGGCAGTGGTGGGGGTGGGGGTGGCGGTGGCGGTGGCGGCGGCAGTGGTGGGGGCGGGGGCGGGGGCGGCGGGGGCGGCGGCGGCGTTGGTGCCGGTGGTGGTGCAGTAGCACCAGCCAAGTACGCAGCACAAGTACATGCACAAATGCATGTTGAGTGCTGTCAACGTCGTGGTCCCTTTTGGGCCTCCTGTATATTTAAACCCATAGCTCTACACCCCATATGATCTCATGTCAGTGCTCTATGGTAGTTGCTTAGGATTCCTGTTCCCAAAATGGGCATCATGAAAAATACTTCCCCTTTTTCCTTCCAGATCCACAGGATCCCTAAACAATATCCCACTTTAGATTCAACCCCCTAGGCCCTAAGCCCCTAAACCCAAAACCCTGCATCCTAGAAACCCTAAACCCCTAAAACTCCTAAACCCCGCAGTAGTTCCCGTTTTCTTTTCCATTATCCCTATATGGGTGGTTGTCAAAATTACCGTCCCTTTTGGGATCCCGATTATAATACGGCACCTAATATTTAGGGCACTCAAAAGGGGACCATAATTTTGACAACCACCCATATAATCCCTATATTAGAACCCTATGTAACCCCTAAATAATCCCTATATAACCCATTATGGAAGTTTCCATTTTCCTTTCCATTATCCCCATGTAACCCCAAGATAATATGTTAACTACTATTACCCCAAAACCCAAATACCTAATTATTGGGTACATGGACCCTAAACCCTAAACCCTATAAACCCTAAACCCTATATATCCCTATAATCCCTTTATAGCACCTATATCCCCTAAACCTAAACCCCCAAACCTGCATCCTGAAAACCTTAAACCCTGTAGTAATTCCCATAGTCTTTTCCATTTTCCCTAAATAATCCCTGTATAACCCCTATATCCCCTAAACCATTTTGAAGCTGGACTGGCTCGCGCCTCGGAAGGGTGCGCAGCCAGCCATCCTGGGTTCGAAAGGGATGCAGTCAAACTACGATTTCTAGGGTGTAGGTTTGGGGTTTAAGGATTTAGGGGTCAGGGTTTTAGGGGTTAGGGATTTAGGGTTTGGGGTTTTGGGTTTAGGGACTTAGGATTTAGGATTGGGGGGTTGGGGTTGAGGAATTCAGGGTTTTACGGGCTTAGGATTTAAGCTTTGGGGTTTGGGGTCATGATTTAGCTTTCGTGGTGTCCATACCGTTAACTTCACCTTGTTCCTGGTCCACCAATGCCCCCACCAATCCCACTCTGCTCCACCTTACCTCCCCTTTTCCACACCGGCTGAATGGTTTAGGATTTAGGGTCCAGGGTTCTAGGTAGAACTATACAGGGATCAGACTCCCCAAGAATCACATGGAATCCCACGTAGCCTGCCTGTACAAGGACAAAGTTTTAGTCGTTATGAAATCCTTTGCCGGGTTCCATCTTCGTTTGCGGAATTGTCTGCTCTTGAGAAGCTGTAAACAGGTTCCGGACGGCTGGAAATCTATGCAGTGCACATCATGGAAAGGACTTTTGCCTAAACCCTAAATCCTTAAAGCCTATATCCCTAAACCCTAAACCCCTGAACCCTAATTCCTCAATCCCTAAAGCCTAAGCCACGAAACCCTAAATCCCTAAAGCCTAGTGCCGCATTATCAGTCATTCTGAGCTATCCCTTCGAGCTTCAATCTCCAACAGGCCTGGGTTCAGAGTTTAGGGTTTAAGGTTTAGGGTTTGGGGCCTCAGGCGGACCAAATGATATGTGCTGTAGTCTAAACTCCTTAAAAAGGCTAGATAGGGGATTATACAGGGTAGTATCATACCAGATGTTAAGGGGGATGCTTGGAGTTTAGACTATATAGCTCATATGAATATGGGTTTGAAATCTTTCTGCGGTACCCTGCACAATACCTGTACAAGCAATCTAGAACCAATGTTGGTAACGGTTTAAGTCGTAAAGTCTAAACCCTTAAACCGTCAACTGTAAACCCCACTTCCTTAAACCCTTACATAAATCTAAATGCTTAAGCCTAAAACCTTAAACTCTTAAACGCTACACCGCGCAATTCTGTTCTGGATTTAATTCGACACTTAAGGGGCCTTGCCAGTCCCAGGGTCCTTACGCGTAGGGTTTAGGGTTACGTGATTTGGGGTTTAAAGTTTGAGGGCCTTAAGGGTTTACGGGTTTAGGGTTTAAGGGTTTAGGGGGTAAGGGTTTAATTCTGGGTTTAAGGGCCAAGGTTTTGGGGCTTAGGGTTTAATTGTTTAGGGGTTTTATGCTTAAAGGTTTAAGGGTTTAGGGTGCTTTGCGACCAAGCAACCCGAAAAGCGAAATTCAGGCCTCCGGCAACGAGTCCTTTGTTGCTCGTTATTCCCAAAAAAATGTTAACCTTCGTCTTCCTCACTATGAAATTATAGCAAACCCTAAACTCCAAACCCTAGGTTGTAAAGTCCACCAAGAGTCAAATGTAGACCAGTTGGTAAAGTGACTTCTGCCACCTGGGCGCTTCTCCCGCTCTTTTCTTAATCTACTGCCATGGGAAGGCAAACATGATATGGATGCCACAAACAAGACTGCTGGCAATGCGAAGATCAATATCAACCGCAGTACCGCTGCACTTCGAAGGTCTGGAAAATTACCAACATGTTTTTGAGGCTTGCTTGAGGTGCTCCACAACATGAGCAAAAGATAAGCTAGAACGAACATACTCGAAATTCATTTAAGCTTTAGCAGAATGAACTAAATTGCTGTGAATGTGCAAGCCATGCCACCTCTTGAATCTGATTCTAAAATGAAAAGAAAATGCTGCATATGGATAGTTCCCAAAATTAGGGTCCCCTCTTGGCACCCCTGAAAATTAGGTGCCGATCTATAGCCAAAAGGGGCCCAGAATTTTGAGAACTACCCATATGAAGTCACGACATCGTTTCTTTGTATATTAGGTATCACGTTTTGCTGCACCGGGAGTTTCTCAAAAGTTTCAGGTTTAGGGTGCTCCCAGGAATAGTGGGGTTCATAGCAATCTGAAGTAATCAGGAAGAGGGGGGTCCCACGTAAGGATACTGCAGGGATCATTCTGAAAAAGTCACACTTGGATGCAGACTCAACCTGCTGGTGGTAAGTTGGGAATGGATGAATGGATCTGATCCCTTCGAAGACCCCTTCGAATAACAATAAGGGTTTCCATTTTCTTCTCCATTTGTAAACCCTAGACCCTAAATCCCTAGACCCCACGCCAGGTAATAGTTTCCGTCTCTTTGTCCATTGCCCTATCAATCCCTATATAATCGTCCCTTTTCAAGGGACCGTATTCTCATTCCCTAAAGACCCTATTCCCTACTAACTGCCAACAAACCAAACTTAGCGGCGGTTAGTCGGGAATAAGGGGATATAATCCTTATTTTATATAACCCATATTCCCTACTACCCCTAAACCCTGCATATTCCCATATTCCCTATTAACCCCCAGCCTCCCCTCCTCTCCGGAGGCAAACGAGGAAGTCATGCTGGGGCCCTGGCGCCTGCATGTCCTTGACATCCATACTCGCACATGTGCTCCAAGAACTTGCGCATGTCTATCCTTAGGGTTTAGGGTTCAAAGGCAGGATTAATGGCGCATACAGAGGAATCAGGTGGGAAAGAAAACAGGAAATGAAATGGAATCTGCGCTGATATATAATGATGTGCCCCTTAGGGATGGGGTGGGCGCAGTACGAATCACTGGTGCTACCTGTAATACTAGTTATCGGTATCATTGTGTTATAACTTGAAATTCCCATGCTTACGACACCTATAAACCCTACATTATCCCACTTCTAATTTCATTTTTCTGTCTTCCGCATTTGGTTCCCAAACGTTGCAGCACAAGCCTATGTATCCCTTATGCAACCCGATTTAATCTCTGAAGGTTTCTCCCTGATCCCCAAACCCCAACCTCAAGGCTTAGGCCGCCTACCTGCTATGGTGGCCGGCGCTTACGGCTTACGGCGCGAACCCAATAGCGCGGGCCGATCCAAGACCATCGCCTGCCTCCCCAACCAAGCATGGGAACTGTACCACATGTGTTAGGGCCAGGGCCAGTACTGGGACCTGTTCTCCCTGCGCCAATTCCCCAAGACTTCCCAAGGCGCTTCCAGAACCTCACAACCTGCACAAGCCCTTCCAAGCAGCACCTCGCATGGGGCTCCGGGCTTCGACAAGTAGTAAGCACATTTGGACAAAGCTTGCCCTAAACCCTAAGCAAACTGCCTAGGGCCTAGATAGGTGACCACCACGGTTCCAAACATTTTCATGGAAAATGACTCGAAGCCCTGAACCCTAAACCCTCAACCTTAGACTCTAAATCGCTGAAGGCAAAGCTGCTCTTCAAATTCCTAACAGAAAGCAAGATGGCAGTTTCCATTAGAGAAAAAAAAGAGGCTCCAACTTTTCTACCCTTCATACACGGTAGCCCAGATTATGGGGACTCCCCAACAGTACTCTTAATTCTTGCAAGTCGCCACGGCGCAATAAACTTCAGCCAGCCAGTCAGACAGGATGCGTCATCAATCATTAATCAAACCCTGAACCTGAATCCTCTTCATCCGTATATATAGTCCCCCTTAAGTAGATAGAATATGGCTTTGGGCACATTATAAGATCCCCATATACCCCATATTCTATCTACTTAGGGGGGACTATACTCTTATCTAGTCGTTACACCGCAACTACAAGCCCTCCTAAAGTTTGAGTTGTAAACGGATATCCCTGTCTACCCCCTCAAGAACAAGGCTCGGCGCATCACCAAAGACTTTGTGCGCCAGATTTGAGTCCTTGTTCTGCTCTTCTGGACCGTAATGCGGGGGCTGAACCACTTTGGGGATGCATTATACTATACTTACTCACGGATTCGCAAGGAATAATGTTTCAAAATAATCCGGCTTTTTACGAGGGACGCTGCGTGTGGACCTTGTGTAGCATAGGGACTGCGTAGGAATAGGGGGCGGCTTAGAAGGGCCAGATATTACTAATGTGGGTCTCGAGTGGGGATGCCAACCCTAGATAGATTGTGAATCGTGACTCGGGGTCCCAAAAAACCCTGCATGTACAGGTTGCAACTCATCACCTCAGACGGTAGGGAAACCATTCTGACAAGGAGCTACCAGTGTGTGCAGCTGGGTGTGTTTGTCTTGGAAGTCCCCTCCAGCAATGTCATCTGCAGTAATGAATGCACGGCCCTTGGCATAGGCGTCGTGGTAAATCCTTCAAGGGTTCACATGGCAAAGCAGCGCTGGGCCCATAGCAACCCGTGTCAACATCCATACATGCCGCAAGCCCCTCCTTTGATGTGGAAGCCTAGACAATACCAAGATCATAGTCCTAAATTCCTTGTATAGTTATGATGCATAGCGTACGTCAAATAAACCTCAACATGATATTGGCAATGATTTGAGCCCGCGGCAATGCTATTTTGTACATGCGTGGGCCAAAAGGGCTACCCAGACCTAAACATAGACCTCCCAAGTGCGCGTGGCCCAAAATAATAGCTCATAAACCTGAAGCCTTGAACCTTAAATCCATAACTTTGGGTTCAGTGTTTAGGGTCATGGGTATTTGGGTTCACCTAGCTCGCACGTGCACGCATATTTGCGTTTCTCGGAGAGGAGGGGGTCCTTGGAGACCCTGCGTTGACCTCACCATTTGGAGACGTAGAGATTACAAGGGGTAACTATTACTTGAGGCATAATATAAAGGGATAATTTTGAAAACTCCCGCATCAGCCCATGTGCCCTCTGCTCCATCATGACGATGCGTGCATGGTTCAAAAATGGTGAAGCTGCATGGTTGAACAGCAGGTCCGCCATAATTTGCGACAAAACCACATATTGCAGCTGATGCTCGTGGTGCTGGCCCGGTTCCAGGGTTTGGGCCACAACAACTACAGCTGATGCTTATGATGCTGGCCCGGTTGCGGGAGTTGGGCCACAACAACTACAGCTGATGCTGGCCCTGTTCCGGGATTTAGGACAAGACGATTGCTGTTGATGCTCATAATCCTAGCTCGGTTCCGGGATTTAGGCCACAACAATTGCAGCTGATGCTCATGATGCTGGCCCTGTTCTGCGGTTTGGGCCAACACGAAGGCAGGTGATGCTCAGCTGCCGCTAGTGCTCATAATGCCAAAGCAACTGCAGCTGATGCTCATGATGCAAAACAATTGCAGCTGATGCTCATGATGCTAGCCCGGTCCCGGGGCTTGGGCCACAACAATTGCAGCTGATGCTCATGATGCTGGCCAGCCAGAACAATTGCAGCTGATGCTCATGATGCTGGCCCAGTTCCGGGGTTTGGGCCAAAACAATTGCAGCTGATGCTCATGATGCTGGCCCGGTTCCGGGGTTTGGGCCAAAACACGTGAAGCTGATGCTCATGATCCTTCTGGCGTTTGGGCCAAAACACTTGCAGCTGATGCTCATGATGCTGGCCTGGTTCCGGGGTTTGGGCCACAACAATTGCAGCTGATGCTGATGCTGGCCCGGTTCCGGGGCATGGGCCACAACAACTACAGCTGATGCTGATGATGCTGGCCCGGTTCCGCGGTTTGGGCCAACAAACACAATTGCAGCTGATGCTCATGATGCTGGCCCTGTTCCAGGGTTTGGGCCAAAATAATTGCAGCTGATGCTGATGATGCTGGCCCGGTTCTGGGACTTGGGCCGAAATAATTGCAGCTGATGCTCATGATGTTTGCCCGGTTCCGTTGTTTGGTCACAACAATTGCGCTTGCCCCGTTCCGGTTTGGACACAGACAGTTGCAGCTGATGCTCATGATGCTGTCTCGGTTCTTGCGTTTGGGCGGCCACAGGGCCTTGCAGAAGCAACGATGCTATATTCCGTCCTGTCACTTACCAAGGTCGAGCTACATCCGAATTAAAATGGGTCAAAAACTGGTGTAGACCAGGTAGTTGGGTCGCAGACATGACCCTACATTTCAGAGATTCCCAGCCGTCCTTTCAAGCTGTTTCCGCTCCTCATCATCAATCAGTCGCGGCGTCTCATGACGAATCTCATCCTAAGCTTTTCAGCAGAGACTGCATTGTACAACTCCCCTACCCAGATTGTAGAAGGCCGCCCATCCCCCTAATGATTAAACATTGTCCCTGTAACACTGACACACGAGCTATCATCTAAACTCCTGGCATGATCCTTGATATCCCCTATAGGAGTCCTCTTTACCCGCCTTTAAGGAGGTTAGACTATAGCTCACATGTTGGGTGAGTGTTCATTGTTGGGGGTGTGGGGAGTGTTCACTAAGAGAGAGGGCATTAGACTTGGTCTCAACTTGCAGATAGGGTTGAGGGCTTAGGAGTTACGGCTTAAGGGTTGAGGGTCTGGGGCTTAGGGTTTAATTTTCTTTTCGTGCCAGATCCCTAAACCCTGAAACCCTAAACCCTGAAACCCTAAAACCATGAAACCCAAGCCCAAAAGAATTGGCACCCTAATTGCTTTTTTTTTTGCCTCCAAACGAAGGACCACAGCCGCACGGCCCAACCACAACAAATGGGGGACTAGCTATACATAGCCTAATATAGGGGTTCTACAAGGATATATGTAATTCATGGATTAGAGTTTCCTAAAATTAGGAATCCCTTTTTGCGGTTCCCAATAAGAAGGAGAACAGCATTTTGGAGTCTGTTGGGGTCCCCTTTCTGAGGGAAACTAACACATCTTCTGAAAGGCCACTAAGACGCCAGCTCGTGGGCACCAAGCCACGCCAACAGTTCCGCAATCACCCGGTGGGATGAATTTGGATATGTCCAGGACAGCCTGTGTTTCTGTTCAGGAACCTAAAGCAACTTATCAGGGTACTGCCCCCACCCAGTAACAGTCTATATTAGGGGTCCTATGGAGGGCCATATGTAACCAAATTATATCTATTATCCAACTGTTACTGAGGCGGGGCAGTACCCAAGGTTTAGGCTTTAGGGTTAAGGAAACCCTTTTATCTACTACATACCCCCTAAATCCTAAACCCTAAACCCTAAATCCAAAGCCCTAAATCCTAAACCCTTTTTTCAACCCAGACTCTGGTCCACGGTAAGCTGGGAACCCTAAACCCTAAATCCTAAACCCAAACCCTAAACCCTAAATCCTAAACCCTAAATCTTAACAGCAACCCAGCAGCAGAAGGCCCAAGGAGAGCCCTTCACTCCGCTGAGCTATGCTTGCCTTGCGTGGTACGTTTAAGGTCAAACAAATCAGGGTTTCCCAAAATTTGGGGTTTAGGGTTTAGGGTCCTTTTGGGGGGTCCCCATAATAAGGATTATAGTATTTTGGGGTCTGTATTAGGGTCCCCTTATTCGGGAAACTGCCAAATCAGGGTTTAGGGTTTCCCTTACACAACATACAAAATTATCGATTGTCCCATTGATAAAAGGGTTATACCGTTGATGGAAGAAATTTTGCACCACTTATAGGCCCTGAAATGCAGTAGTTCGTAAGACTTGAGGGACCTAAGGTGGTGCAAGATTTCCTCCATGTAGGGCTCACATTGAGATTCTACAAGGTTTGTACCAAAGTCATAAGGGGTTCATACGGTATCGGGATTCTAGAGGGTGTCAAAACTGTCCCAACCCTAAACCCCAACCCTAAATTCCTAAGCCCTAAGCCGTCAAACCCTAAGCCCCTATAACCCAAATCCTAGACCCGAAACGCAAGGGCCCAAAGCGCCACCCGGCTGCACAGCTCCTCAGCCAGAGCCGCGCCCCACGGAAGAGGCCCGCATAAGCCCGCCGAGACTCAGGGTTGATCCCGAAAGCTGCTTCTTGCTCCACCCAACCTTATGGGCAAATACATACCTAAGGGTTAAGGGTTTAGGGATTAGGGTTCAGGATTTAAGGTTTAGGGATTAGGTTGATAGCAGGGCTTGGGGTCTAGGATTTAGGTCCCTTCTGGTCGTTAGTGGTTTAAAGCAGGTCATATGGGTTATATAAGGGAAAGTTCCAGCCTTACGGTTAAAACACTACGAATATCAGGGTTTAGGGTTCAGGATCTAAGGTTTAGGATTAGTTTTTAGCTTCCTGCTCCATCCAGTCTTACTAGTTGCTAGTAAAGCTTAAAGTCGTTTGGAGGGGTCATATACGGGATACATACTTGTGGGGAGTCCAAAAACTTTTCTGTAGTCTAAGGCTCAGGATTGAGTGAAGTATGGGGAATCAAATGGACAAACAAATGGAACATGAAATAGAAGCTTCATTCCCTACTAAGTTACTAACAGACTAACAACCGGCAAGCAGCGGAAGAAGGTGGGCCAACCCAGGCGGGACAGCGGAGCCGCGCAATCGTCGGCCTCCTGGTTTTTGGGATCCTCCACGGGCCTCCCCCATTCCAAATCCTTCTGCCGACGCAACTCCTTGTTAGCAGCAACTCTGTCTGCTTCTACCTCCTTGAGATGCAAAAAGTGTCGGAAGATCCGACACACGTTTTCCTCGCAGGGCGCGCGCAAAATGTGCTTTATCGGCTCCCCATCTGCCTCCCGCTTTCGCATCTCTCCTGCGCTGGCACCCAGCAGGGCTACATGTAAGCCTTGGGCAATCTTTGAAACTGCCCTATGGATTCTCTCCTCGAGCTTTGATGGAGATCTGTCGGAAGGCCTCCGGACGGCAGCTGACTGTGGGCGCTCTTGCCCGAAACTGTTCGGACTCATGGATATGACCTCTGGATTGCACGTCACATTCCTTTTTGTGATGGAAGACAAGGGCCTTGACATAAGCAATTTCCTGGGTTGCTGTGAAGGAGCTTAATTAAAGTTACCACGCTGATAATAAGCAAACCCTATCATTTACTATATACCCAGATTATGGTTACCGAATTTAAGTTCCTTAACAGCAACCCAGTTTCGAGTCACTCCTACACATGTGGGCTTTGGAGAGCGTCTTCTGTCCGGAGGTCTGGGCTGGTTGCTTCACCTGGGTTGCGGTTTAGGGTTTAGGGTTTAGGGTTCAGGGTTTAGGGTTTAGAGCTTACGGTTTAGAGTTTATAAGGTTTAGGGATCTTGGCCTAAAATGGCATAACCTGGACTTACGTACAGTGAACTATAGGCCTTCCTAGTGGTTAGTTAATGGTCACTGCTATTTTTGCCCATATATAACACACCAGCTCCAACTTGATGGTTCATCTTCTTCTTCTCTAGCGTGGTAATCGGAACCCTTTGCACCCCAATTTCTACTTATTCTCCTATAAGCGTTTATTATCCCGATCGTCCCCGTTTGGAACACTCTAAAACCCTAAGCCCTGATCGAGTCACGGGTTTGGTGGCCTCTGGCTCCAGAGGGATCTGCTGCGCGCTGAGGAAGGCCTGTTTCCTTACCTTGGTGGCTCTACTTGGAGGATCAGAGGGACTTAGTAAGTAGGTAGGATTTAGGGGTTTAGGGCTTAGGGTCACGGGGGACTTAACAAGTAGATTGATCATGAGGATAACTAGGGTTACTACATGGGTTATAAGAGTTGGTAACCTACTTACTAAGTCCCCCTGACCCTCCAAGAAGAGCCCCCTCAAACCCTTAACCCTAAACCCTGAACCCTAAGGGTTTCGGAGTTTAAGGTTTAGAGCTTCAGGGGGCATTTGGATGCCCATAACCTGGTGCAGGCGGCTTATAACATCACTCCTCACTACCCATGAATCTCCAAGAGGTCCCCTTGGGGGGGGAGCGGGGGAATATCAACTGTCTCAAGCTGCCAGCTAGTTACCTTAGCCCACATTACCTTAGAAATAAAAAAGGATCCTTTTACATGAGTATAAGGAATCCCATACCCCCAAAAGTATAAGTAGGTTTCCAACCTCGTAGCCCATATAGTAACCCTAGTTATCCCCATGATTAACCTACTTGTTAAGTCCCCCTGACCCTAAGCCCTTGGATCCCAAATGTTCATCCAGTTACCCAGTGGCCCTCAAGCACCTGCAGCATGCGCCTCTCAGCGCAATTCCTTGCTTTGATCTTCTCACTCTTCCCCAGGTTGGGCTCTGAGGTGCATCTCCTGGGTTGCTGTTAGGGAACTTAATTTAAGATACTATATTGGGGAAACCATATTGATTCGTGTATATATATATATAAACATACCCATTATGGCATTATGGTACGTAACTTAACTTAAATTCTTTAACAGCCACCCAGTTTCGCCAGAGCCATATCACTCAGAAAGCTGCGCGCCGGCCAATGGTATGCGAGGTTCCATGATAAATCTGCAGAGCTAACTGCAAAAAGGCCCTACGAACTAAAAGTACTAGTAATGGGATCAGGAGTTGATTCTTGGCTATGGGTGGGCAGAGGATGAGTCGCGCGTGAGGAAGTTATTCGGTCACAGCATCGCGGGGGCGTAGAGCTAGCTGAGCTGACTCCTATGTACAACCTGAAGCCCAACTTATCGCCTGCAGAGCCCGCAGCAGAAAACTGTCTCTGCTTGCCCTTCTCTCTCCGGGATTCCCAATCAACACACAACCATGACTTACGTGTTCAAAGCTTGGCGCTGCATGTGCAGATGCCGGCCCATCTGCTACCAGGTCAACGCCTGATTTCATTACTAATATTCTTAATGTCATTATTGTTTCTAGCATTACTATTATCTCGCAAAAAGCTGCCTGGAGGGCAGTCAAGCACAGCCCTCGGCAGAAGACTGCGCCTGGTAGTACCGCACGATATGCAAGTGCGTCAGCCTCATCGGTTTCAGGTGAAACTACTGAGAAGCGAACATCTCACCGCAAAGCATGCGCAGCTCATGGGACACGTGCTTGGAGGTCGCAGGACTTAGCAAGTACATGTACTGATAACTTTTATGAGCCATGATAAGACCAATAAGACATAAGACCCCTCTTTACGCTACTTCGTCCCCCGACCGCCCAAGCAGGATACCCAAAAGAATAAAGCCTCTCTGCACACCTCATCCAAGTAAAGTAAGTAGTGTTTTTGGTGGTTGGACCACGTAAGATCATCTTCTTGTAGAACACAGGGAATAGATAACCTTACTCTGTGTTGGGGGCTGCGACCTCAAAGAAAACACTACTTTTTCTGTGGTTTCCCAAAACGGGTCCCGGTTCTCGACCCCCAAATAATGGGATCCCTGTTATACGGACCCCCAGAACGGGACCCCCAATGTCTTGAACCACCCAGGACCCAGAAGACCCTGAACCCGGAACCGCTAAACTCTAAACCATATACCTTGGGTATTTCCACCGATCAGTAACAATTTGGATAGTACTTGTATCAGAAAGATTCTGAGCCCTCATTTTTACCCCTATTATAGACTGTTACTGGGCGGGGCCCTAAACCCTAAACACCAAATCTCAAATCCTAAACCCCTTAAACTTAAACCCCAAACCCTAAACCCCTAAACCTTAAACCCCAAAAACCGAAACCCCAAACGCTAAGCCCCTAAACCTTAAACCCCTGAACCCCAAACCCTAAGCCTTAAACCCTAAATAGGGGGATGTATGAGCCATTGTATAAACTCCTAGTATCCCCCTTAATAACCCCTAAAGTAGTCCCTTATATAATCCCCTATATGAACCCCCTTTAAGGAGGTTAGACTATAGCTCATATGAGTAGTGTTTTGTTGGTGGTTAAACCTAGTAAGATTATCTTTCTTATATGAAATACTATACCCCAAAAGGAGGATATAATCTTACTCTATATTGGGTACCATAGTATCCCCAAATAAAATACTACTCATATACTGCTAACCCCAGGGGGTGGCCTGGGCAGCAGCGCGCACTCTTGCAGCAGCCGCTCGCGGTCCTGGGCTGAGCCGCGCAACTCCAGGCCTTGGTCCGAGGCTTCAAAGGGTTTAGGGGTTTAGGGTTGAGGGTTTAGGGTTGAGGGTTCAGGGTTTTGGGGTTTAGGGCTGATGATGTAGGGTTTGGGGTTTAGGAGTGAAGGCTTTAAGGGCTTAGGATTTAGGGTCTAGGATTTGGGGGTTTAGGAGACTAGGGTTTCCTCCCAAGGGGTATGGGGTTTGGGAGTTAAGGCTTCAGGGGTCAGGGGAGGGTCTAGGATTTGGGGGTTTAGGGGTTTAGGAGTTGGGGGGTTACCCTCACAAAGCGATATGAGATGTGGGTTTTCTGAAAATCACATCAAGGTCTGAATAAGGACTATCCTTGAGGGGGTCTGTATTGGGGCTCTTGGGAATTCCCCTATACCCTTCATGTTACTAGTGTGGCTTAGGGAATCTACCCTACATGGTACTCAGATGCCTAATATGATCGAAGGACTATTGCTGAACGAAGGGGTATTTGTCCCCTTTCTAGGTAGTTATAAGTTGTGAGCAGCTTGGGTGGGGCTCATATGGGGATATGTAGGGAGATTATGGGATTGGGTAGGTTACAGGGGTTGTGTAGCACGCGGTTTAGGAATTGGTGTTTAGGGTTGAGGGGAATTGTGTAGCAGGATATAAGTTTAGATTGGGAGCTTTTTGGATTCTGGGTACAGTAATTACAAGTGGGCAATGAGCCCCAACAACGAGATTTCGACTATTCTTATCCTAGGAAAATCAGAAACTTGCAGTACAAATGAGACGAGGGTGAAGACCGTTTCCAATGTGTCAAAAAAACGAGCCTTGGGGGATACCTCCTGCGATTTCTTGACATCATCGCCACATTTTGGGGAATCCTTACGTTGAAGCTTTGAAACTTCGGGGGATGTGCAAGGCGACCCACATTTGCATACATGACCTGTTGGTTTCCCTCAGGTTCTCCTGCTTAGATAGAAATCCCCCATGATGACCCCCCTGAAAATCCAATCCTGCATTCCCAGCTGACCCAAAACCACACCTAGACCTCCCAAATACCAGCAATCACGGCCTTTACCCCGAACATGCGTGCGAGGGCTGTTATGGATTTTTTCTGGAGGTCTAGGCAAGCCTTAGACCTGTACTCCTGAAGCTGGAGGATACCTTTATTGAGGGTTTAAGGTTTCGGGTGACTCCTGCCTGCCGGAAAACCCTGAACCCTAAACCCCTAGCCTCTAAACCCCTCAACTAAACGCCTGAATCCTAAATCCACTGGGATGGTGGCGCTTCACAGCATACGGCTGGCCTGCAGCTAGACCAAAATCCACGGCCCAGCTTTATTCCACGTTTAGGGGTTTTAGGGCTAGTAAACCATTTTTGGGATGCTTATTAAGCAAGGGTGGTGTAAAACTGGGCACCCCGCTGCCCCACCAGGAACCAGACTTTTGAACTTACTATAAGGACACAATTTTGGGCCTAGGGGATCTGATCCGCTTGTCTGTTGTAATCACGAGGCACGGTTCTCCTCTCCACCTTTCCCCCGGGTGGGTGCTAAAGAACAAGCACTTACCCTAATATGGATCTAGAGGGTGTAGTTCTAAGAGTCTAAGGGTTCAGGGCCACCACCAGCCCTAAACCCTATAGGGTTTAGGGTTTAGCCTGATATAGTTTTTAAACAAATCACTTAGGTTAAGTTCCTTGATCGGGTCTACTCTCAGCCCGCTCACTGGGCAATCTGACAGACAAGGAGCTTTTCAGGGGCCCTGGGAAACCCTAAACCCTAAACCGATTCTTTGGGCCCCCATATAGGCTGTAGCATGAAGGCGGGCTCAACCGGCACGAAATCGGAGTAGATAGATAGGGTTTAGGGTTTAGGGCTTAGGGTGCGGTATATGCATCTTTGGGATTCCGTATTCTGTCTACTCAATGGGGACGGTCAACCCTAAACCCGGTGCCAGGAAGCCACAGGATGAGCTGCAGGAGCTGAAG